GCTACTACTGCAACAGCGCTCAATGGTAGAAGTGAACGTGGCCGCAGATAGGAATCGATCGGCGCTGGACGCTTGTGTTTAAAAGAGTATAGAACAATAGCAAGGGTATGACCTTCACTCAATTTGGTACCCTCATTCTTCTATACTCTTCCGAAGCGCTAGCGGCCAAAGCCGATCGATACCAGACTGCGTGAGTAGACAAGATGTACGCTCCTGTTCCCCCATACTCTCTTAGAACAAAGCGGCCTACGGCGATCGATTGCAGTGTGCGGCAGCAATCGCGTCTGTTTTATTTGAGCGCTGTGGAAGTTGCTGCGCGTCGACGCGCGTAAAAGGGCGATATTGCGAAGTCTGTACGCTGCCTCAATTGTTTTCAGGATTTCTCAGGATTCAGCCTTAAGGTGGGTGCCCTACTTTCCATTCCCGCCTGATGACCCTTGTCTGCTTCAGGTCCGCAAGCCAACAAAGAGAACTGCCGATGCGACAGCCGAAGTGGAATCAGAAACTGAAGCTGTAAAGAGACCAAAAGCTGATGCAGAAGAGGCCTCTGTCCCAGATACCGCCACAGTTTAGAAACAGCATGATCCAGAGGAGTGGCGATCTCATGTTAATATTATCACCTCACATACTTTACTTTAACCACTAATACAACTCTGCCCATGTACTACTTCATTTTAATCTCGGTCCCGATGCGTGTATTATGAGTCGGTTGTTGTCATTAATGTCATTGGTACTTTTACTTAATAAACTTGTTACAAGTGCATTTGTCTGGCAATAGAGAGTGGTGTGTCCTGTGGGTATTTCTGCGATGTTTCTACGAACATTGGGGATGGAAGTGTTAAGTGTAAAGTGGAAAAGGGGCATAGGTATGCGTGTGGGTTCGGGGGAGCGGGGTATGGAAGCGTAGGGTGCTGCGAAGCGATTGTAGAGCCATTCAAGCAAATTGGGCACGATTTCTGGGAGTGCGAGCTGGTTGTGCAGCAAAACTCATCTGCTGAGACGGAGTAAGGCAGGCGATGGGGGGTGAGGGAGTGTAGAATGGGGCGATGAGAGATGGGGAGGTTACTTGTGTGATATTTCAGTTTGAGACAAATGGTATCTTGTTCTGTGTGGACGGAGACAGGATATAAAAGATCCCGTCAAGATGGAAGCACTCACGGGGTGTTGCTAGTGTTCGATCCAAACTCCTAAGCGATTTTGGGGCGTTCACCACTTTACACCAGGATGAGATGGGCGCTTGACAACCAGGTCGGGCCACGGCAGTAGCGCAGTGGGCGTGCCGAACGTGCGGTTAAGCTGAGAGTAATTGGAAGTGGCCGCAGTAGGGTGTAAAGTGTTAAGCGGAGATCGAGCGCGGTAAGCATGTAGATATTGGGTGCAAGTCCGCCTTCAGCCTGAAGGCTAGGTACTCATTGGCCCACCATAGCGCGATCAGTGCTCTGTGTTGTCTCGATGTTGGTTCCTATTCATGCATGATCTAGGCTTGATGCCGACAAAGGGACGTTTTGATTCTCTCAGCAAGCTTGGTAGAAAAAGAAGAATGTGATAAATTGCTAGTCGCCTCCCGCGGTGGATCGGCTCCGTTGGCGCTGATATGTTGAGCTCCCAAGGCGAAGATGTGATAAGTATATCTGCATAAGGCGTGAAGAGGGTCGTTAAGCGTTGCTTATTGTTGCTGAGGTATCAAGAAAGCCATAAAATGATCTGAACATTGTTATAGTTCGGCTTATTCAGTAAATTCCTGATGCCTTCGAGCTAATTAATTCTAATAGTGCACTGATTAGTCATCGTATCAGCGTTTTGTGGGCGCTTCGTCGAATGATCGAATCGACGAGCGCTGAAAACCATCGGATAGAAGACGTCATGATCCCGACAACGAAGCGATGTATTCCGTTGCCTTTCTTCAAAGGAAACACGAATAAGGTGGGATATCATACTTCGTTTCATCTCTTGAAAAGTGATTTGTTGAGCTATAATGTGAAGGATCTCTCAATCTCCAGATATCTCTCAACCGCAGAGCCTCGTTCCTCCCACCTTTTGCTTCCTCATTCTCTCTTTTCATTCCTTATTTCTCCTCCCTCTCTTCCTTATTTTCCTCCCTTCAAATGCTCGGACAGAGATGCAATGAGAAAATGCCTCTGGTCCCTCGCAGGAGCACCCGGTTCACAGAAGCCCTTTACCCAGAAGAAGGATTCGAACATCCAACATCGTCCAGTTCTTCGTTAATCTCGACAAGATGAACATATCCTTGGCGTGAAATATTAAGCCTTGATACAATGGTTGGATCAGCTTGGGGTGAGGCTGACGGCTCTTTTACCTTCGCTGAGAGCTGTGAAGTTATAGAAAGGGTCAGTGTTCAGTAGTTGAAGCCTTAAAACCATGTCCAGACCTCGATCTCGAGACTTCTATACATTTTGTTGGGCTGACCTTTCGGCTTATGTAACCTTCATTGGTGACTATGAACTCCACAGTTGTCCCACCAACTTAGCCATTTCAACGATTAACCATTTTAATCGACACAAGGGGTAGAGCAATACAGAGGAATGTTGTAGGCAAACTAAGATGATATCCTTTCACGAAATAAATCAGGCTTTTTTACCTAAATTATTAGCTTTTCCTATGACTCTTGGTCGAAATTCCTTGTCACTCGTTTTCAATGCGCAATTCGAATTGTTTCTGAGTGCTTCAGTCGTCTCAATTATATGTTTCAGCCTGACAGATCCTGAGGTAGAGGAAGGAGGTTCTGTCGAAACTTCAGCAAAATAGGAGTCTCACAAGACGAAAAATTATATATGCATTGAAGCTTCTTTCTGTGCAAGTCATCGCGTAGTGGAATTTTTTGCTGAAGTGGGCGTCCCCCATTTTTATCCTTCGCCACAGCTTCTTTCACAACGTCATCTTACCGAGATTCGTAAAAATTTTCCGTAGACTGGGGAAAGGAGAGGGAGTGGAGGAGGCGCCCGTTCAACTGCTGGAAGTGGTTTCGCCACCGCTGACGACGGTGGTGCTTGAGTGTAATCCAGAAGAAAAAGTAAACAGTCAAAATTTCCAAGATTCCTGCCACCCCACTCATAATGATGCTCCACATCTGGGCAATGTTATTGAGACTGGTCCATTTGAGATCGTCCAGTGGTCAGAAGTCCGCTCCCGTTCCTGCTAAGGTGGCTATTAGGTTGTCGCATAAGTTCTTATACACGACTTTTTTCGTAAATATCTCAATAGCGAACCAACCTGAAGATTAGAGGTATGCATCATCACCATCCACTACTCGACGCCAGCGCTCAGGCAGCTTGTCGATTCCTTCCTTCCAGAACGACGGGGGCTGGGACTTGAAGAAGTCGTCGAGTGCCTTTCTGACCTGATCCTTTGTTTCGAACTTTTTCCGTCCAGAGAGCGCTGCAGGTGGCTGAACAGCCAGTAGTCAGAAGGAGCGAGGTCAGGGCTGTAGGGAGGGTGGGCGACCATCAGCCATCCGTACTTCTCCAGCTCGGCCTGGGTCGCCTTTGCAGTGTGAGGTCGGGCGTTGTCATGGTGGAAGTAGATTTCCGCATTCCTTCCACGAGTACGGTCGACGTGATCTTTCATTTCCGCCGGCAGCTGGGTCACGTATGTGGAAGCATCAGTCGTCTGTCCTTCTCCAGCATCTCCCAGAACTCCATGCCTCTTCTGGACCACCAACAGAACAGGGGAACCATTTTGGTGTGAAGGTCGGCCTTTGGGTGGCTTCTGGCTGTTCTCCTTTGTCGACCCACTGCCGCTTCCTCACAGGGTTATCGTAGAGGACCCACTTCTCATCTCCAGTGATCATCGAGTTGAGAAAGTGAAGCTTGTTTTTGTGAATCGTTAAGCAAAACCAGGCAGTGGCGCAGGTACATTCTGTCACAGTGGTAATTGTGCGACATTGTGTACTGCAAATGCAAGCTCGGTGAGTGATAGCTAGTGTAATGAAAGAGTATAATGTACAACGTGCACACGTGATGACGTAATACCAACATCCATGCGAACGAAATAGGAGAGGATAAAACACGTGTATAAGAACTTATGCGACAACCTAATATTTGCCGTAATTCTTTTTTTCGCGCATGGTAGCCCACCTCATGACTTCTCGTCTCTGGTTGAAGATGCTGAGCGTTTTAAATGATTTCGTTGGGAAGAACAACGAGTTGCTATTTGCTAATGACTAAGTTCTGTTTAGTTGCTCTTCTGTCAACGGACATGCGGTGATGGTCAATCTATCTATGCTGTTGCAGTAGATCGTGAAGTGATATTATTATTAGGCACCGGCAAAACAATTTTACGACAAGATGTGCCTTTTGATATTCGGCAGGTGAGCTTTTAGATTACTCAACCAGGTAAGGTATGGGTTCACAATGCTTCTCTTGCGCTTGGATCCAGCGCCTCATATCAAGGAGGTTCGGTTCGGTGATGATTACGTACCATGCATTTCGCTCATCACTTCGTAGGTTAAGTAATGATGAGGGTAAAATGATGGCTGTAGGATGGTGTAATCTTGTAAATAGCTATTAAAAGATCAGAATAAATTGTTCCATGAGGTGACAGAAGGATATCCATTACACCTTCGCTTCTTTAGCACAACTGCTGTACAGTTTCAAAGCAGGGTCCTCATGGAGTTGATTTATGGAGCTTTTTCCTCGAGATTACGTCAGTTTATTTAGACAATAATTCAACTACTTCTTTTCAGCTGCTTTGGGTCGTTTTTCCTCCCTCAAAGAGTGAAATTGAGACGGCTGTTACACAGGAATTCTTTTGTATCGTTGGATTACGTGACTTGATGTTCATTGCTGTTAATGACTCCCATCCATTGGGATTCCGTGTACAGTTCGATGTGAGTCATCGGGTTTTTTACCGTCTCAGGGCACTTGTCAACCGCGGAGCCTCTCTTCTCTTTCCTTTTTTCTTCCTCCTTCCTTCTCTGTTCCCTCCTCCTTTACCTTCTCCCTTCAACTACTGGACTGGTAGATGCCTCGAGAAAATACCCCTGGACCCTCGCAGCGAGAGCACGTCTGGTTGACAAGTGCCCCGTTACCGTTTTTTTACCTTTAACTATTTTTTCCTTTTTTCAAATGGCCATTCCATGTTACAGTAGGTGAATTAGTAGTGAATGCATTTCGATGAGCCTCCAAAGGTTCGGGCAGGGCGAGAGTGGCGTAGGCAAAGTAGGATTCTTGGACTGGGGTTCGATTGTGAGGTCGACATAGAATATTTGTGTCTCTTATGGCCCCGTAGATCATTTTATGGCTTGAGTGAGAGCTAGCAACGTCTCCATTTGTCCCCATTGTAGCCATACTGGTCCGTTAGGGTTTAATGCTACAGAGAAACGAAGCTGCTCCTTAATTAGCATAGAGTTTTCATGGAGAAATTTGACTCTTGAACCGGCTTTTGTCCAGGTGTTCATTTAGTGTCCCAATAGATCCAGGGACCCTTAAGGTACAGCTACATCCCGAAATCGCACGTTATGTACGTCGTACCGGACTGTTCCAATCAAATTAATGCTGAGAGTTCGTGGGATTTCTATACTCATATACCATCTTGTGCCC